CATCATTTACCCTCATGCCATCCAAGATGTATACGACTTTTCTTCTTCAGATTAACACAAATTAAGGTTTTTAGAAAAATTTAGAAAAAACTGTAATAAGTTGTTTTTCAAATAAAGGTTTCCGAGTCAGTGATATTAGATTGTGCATATATATATGTTTATTGTACTTACCCTGTAACTGGAACAAGAGGGTAACAAGCACCACTTTAATTTACAGCCTGCAATGTCACACTTACCCTGTAACTAACAAGAGTATATTTCCCAGTATTTAAAAAAATTGCAATTGTTTTAGCTTTACTTGCCTTGAAACATGTAAGCCCAAACTTAAACATCTGCACTTTTGCTATTAAAAAAAAGAACTGTATAAATGCATGTACCCATTAATTTTTAAAAAGCATACAGTAGGCTATGTAGGCCTATTGGTAGGCTACACCATTATTACAAAAAGCTAAGCAGTGTATGTTCTCGCTAAATTGATCCCAAATGTTAGCCTAGAAATCTAGACGCACCCTAGCGGCAGCGAAAATTATTTCGCACCCAGTGTGGTCTAGCAACTCTCCATAGGCTTTTGAGCTGGAAAAACCAAAAACTGGCCAATCACATCGTGTATAGAGTCGGCGGGCGGGCTTAACACAATGACGGCACAGTTCATGACGTTCCGCGTGATTTCCATTGGTGATTTCCCTGCTACTTGAAAACAATGAAGATGCAGCGGTCTTTCGAATCGGCTTTGGCCGCGACTCTGGAGGACTTGGAGTTAATAGAACGTCACTTAAGTCATTCTTAAAAAAGGAAGATGTGTTCGGATTTTTGCCGTCCTGATACGGCAAAAGTTTAATATATCAATGGGCTCTATGCACGGCGGTATTTCCGGTGAAGGTCAAGGATGCTCGATAACTTCCGCCGATCATAGAGTCCAATGCAATACCGACAATTTATATTGAATTGTATACTCCATCGTTATACTAAAGAAGCGTTAGTCACAAAAACTGACAAAACAGACACACCTCGTTGTGTTTATGCTTCTTTCTTTTTAAAATTATATTAAATAAACATAACTATATATAAAATTACATCTAAACGTATGAAAGTTTCGTTTCAAAGACGGGAGGACAGTAAATTTTGAAGACTCATGCCATAATCCCGTTTTCCTCGGTTTTCCTCCGCTTTAATCTCCCCAACCGGAAACTGACGAGCATCCTTGCGTCAAATGCGGAACTTATGCGTGCATATAGCCTATTAGCTCCGCTGGTGGAAAAACGCATGGGACTCACTCATCCACAACCGTTCGTTGCTCTGGTTGGTTGTAGCGTTATCCTATTGCGTGCAGAGGGATTTAGAAAGGTAACCGTTTATCCCGCCCCTCGGATTGAGGCATGTCAATGGAGAGTTCCCAGACCTAACATCTTGATGTAGGTCTGGCATGCCAGGCTACCCAAATGTAAGATTGTTGTATCATAATAGTAGAATAAGTAGGCTACCCAGAGGTGGAAAGAGTAATAAAATATTCTACTCAAGTAAAAGTACTACTACTTCAATGAAATTTTACTTAAGTACAAGTAAAAGTACCGGTCTAAAAATCTACTCAAGTAAAAGTAAAAAGTAGCTCATTTAAAATTTACTCAGAGTAAAAGTTACTGAGTTACTTTTTTAACAGCGGGGGTGGGAATCCCCCGTGTAGGGTTATATTAATGGTATGAGATTTTCACAGTATGATAACGTCTCAGAAAATATCACGGTTTACAGTATTAATCAATTATTAAAGGTGCTATATGTATTTTTTAGCGGCCTCTATCGGTGATGTTTCAGATTGCAACCAATTTTTACAAGAGCGCTCGTGCTCTTGCGCATGCTCGAACACAAGAGCGAGCACTCGTGGTACCGGCCACACTGAGACTTTCAACACACTGGAGAAAGCGTCACACAACATGCTGGAAACTCATGTAAACTCCCACTGCAACGTTACAATAATAGGCTACTTTTATCAGCTTGACGTTGAACTAATGCTCCATGCTCGTACAATGATAACGTTACATTTGTGGTGTTATCTACCATAAGGCATTTCACTAACTATTCGTGTATCTTTCACAATCAGCAATGTCAACATAGATGAATGTGATAACGAAAACGGTTAGTGAACTAGACTGAACAATTTCAGTGTAACAGTAAGATCGTAGGAAGTAACATTACTGTACTGAACGTGTCTGGAAATGTGTATTATAAACAATATGATAGTGGGATGAGTGATGTTAGACAGTAGATCTAGTACATAAAATAAAAGTTACATCCTAAAGCACCTACTTTTTGTTATCCTGGAACAGTCTTTTGTATTCATTTCATGTCTCATATATGTTGTAGTTTACCTTGCTATTTCATTATAGTTTAACATTATTTCAGCATATCTGAAAACTTGTAATTTATCGCAATAAAAATAGCGGAGGTCTCTCCATAATTCAAACGCTCTGCCGATGTTGATCCGTGTTTTCGTCCTAAGTCGATCCGATTCACGTTTGGCCTTACGAGCTTCAGCAGATACATTTTTGTTTTGTTTTGTTTTGTTTTTTATATTTTTGTGGTGTTTGTGTTGGAGTGTGTGTTGTGCTGGAGGCAGGAGTGTTTAGTGTTATCAGACTCCATGTCGTCAGCTGCAGTGCCGTCGCATAGACTGTATATAAAAAGGAGAGAGGCTCGGGAGCACACATGCACGTCACATCCGATGGCTTTCGCAGAAAATCCGACCCGGAGACTTCACATAGAAATAGGAATACCGGCCTTCAGAGGTAATAGCTAAACCCGACAAGTGGATCATTGTAATGTGTGATTACAACCCCTTTACACACAGGCAATAAAAAAAAGGATTCATTTTAGAAGAAAAGTTACATATAGCACCTTTAAATAAATAAACGGTATTATTAAATTATGGTTATTATTATTATTATCATTAGTTAAAATGAGTTAAATTAATGAAAACAGGGTTTTTTTTGGTTGAACAAATGCTTTTACTATAACAAACTTGAAACCATTTGTTTGTTTTGTTTATTAAAATTTCAATAAAACACGTCTAATCAATTAAATTCAATAATTGATCATGAATTAGATTAACAACTTATTTTTAACATTAATAATTTATTAAAATGTTTAAGAATAATATAGTCCTATGAAATGTATTTTATTCAGAAAATGAATGTTTCTTTTTATGATTTAATCCAAATATATTATCAAAAACGGTGGTAATCAAATGTAAATTTAAACTTTGTGTCCTTTTATTTTTTGGGGAAGCGCTGCAAAAACAGATTTACTAAATTAAACCATGGACAAAAAAATATATATTCCTTTAAATAATGTTTAAATAAAATGTATTATTGTTGTTATTATTATTTTGAGAAGTTCGTTCTATTGTATGCCCAGAATTTCTCCTTAGTAAAACCAAACTTTTATTTTTGACAGGTTGTAGTGAAGACCCGTTTCAAAGTGGATTTGACAATGGTTTTTATCAAATAAAATTATGAAAATGCTCATTAGGCGTTCTCTCAGAGCAGCTCTGGAAATGTTCATGTATTCGTGTCCTCAAATTGTTTGTGAGACGCTGAAAACACCATGAACGTCACGCGTACTTGAGTATGTAACGTTAGTAGACAAAGCGGCGCAGCTCAGCAGAACACATATATTTACATAGCAGTATTTTTGTGCTTAAATATTCACAGACCATGTCGCGATTGGATTTATTGCACAGTTCTATTTTCCATGTATTCATCCATCCATTATTTCGCGTGTTTTACGTGACATCTGCGTTATGTGAATAATTCCATTTTCATGACTGGATTCCGGGATTCCCTCTGCATCACGTAACGACGTCATTCGGCCTTAAGTTATACTAATCGGGACATACCTTTATCTGCAGGAGGGATGGTGTGTATCCTCCTTTTGCAGCCACTTTGCGTCCACATTTTTTGCAAATTGGATAGACTTATCTATCCTCGAGGACAACCACTCGTTTTTTCTACAAAGTATTTCCATACTGGCCATAATTCGCTTCATAAGAATTCGAGGGCGCTTTCAGCTCAGCTGGGTCTGCGTCACCTTTCTTGCGCATTTGTTCTCCCGCCCTTCAACCAATGCAGTAGTTTCCGGAGTATGATTTTTTTTTCTCCCTTGTCTTATTATTTTTTACTCAGTAACGGATATGATTTCAAATGTAGCGAAGTACAATACTTCAAACAAAACGTACTTAAGTAAAAGTAAAAGTACAGATTTTAAAAACTACTTAAAAAAGTAGAAGTAGGCTACACAAAAAAAACTACTCAATTACGTAACGCGAGTAAATGTAATTCGTTACTTTCCACCTCTGAGGCTACCCCTTAGTTCTATAATACAGTAGCCTAGGCCTATAGGCCTACTATAAATAATGTTTTAATTCTCCTGGTTGTTACCCCTTTATTCCTCAAACTTTACATAATTGTTCCCTTATACTTGCATCATATGGGAACAATAATTACACTATAATTACCGAAAGTTAAGCTGTAAATTCGTCTTAATTACGCAGTACTTTCCGGGCTGTAATCTAAATTTTTAGCGTTACCATTTTTTGTTGTTGTAAACATTTCTCAATCATCATTTCTTATAGGCTATGTGTATAGGCTGCCGCTATTGTATATGTTTTGGCCCGAAAATTTAACTCTTAGGTTTCAGTAAAATTATCTTAATTTGTTTGAAGATAAACGAAAGTCAAATGGGTCTGAGGGCGAGTAAATGATGACAGGATATGTTAATTTCTCCAGACTACCCGACCCGTTTGATGTCGTGACTCTTTCGAGTGTTGTCATCACTTATATAGCCCATAGCAAATGATGCTGGAATTTTATATTTAAAAAAATTGCACAAGGCGGTTAAACACACAAAACCACTGTCATATAGGATACGTAGGCTACTTTTGACTCTGCATGGCAATAACTTCCTCGTGTGACAACTAGCCCCGGCGTGTTTCCGTGTGTCAGCTGTGTGGGCGGCAGCAGCATCGCTCACTCTCAAACTCAAACTCGATCTCTCTCAGTAAAGTCACGCTGCTCATGATCAGGTGCGGGCGATGCGAACTGTAGTTTTACTCCATGATTTCACCGAAGATGGTCGCGACACACTCCTCCAGCCACCCGTCCTCTTCCGCGGAGTGGATCATCTGTCTGGATAAGAGGTACCATCGTTTACCCGACACAAACTTCATGGTGTTCCTCCTCTGATCGACCTGCAGCAATCTTTCACACATCAGTGCCTCATAGAAAACACATTCCAAGCACATGTGATTTGTTAAACCATATTAGAATATAACTTTCATATGTCATATGCGATTGTCAGTGTAATTGATGTAGATGCAGCATTTCATTCTCAGCGCGACTGGTTTTAGGATTCATTGCGAGCTTCACGTCTGCGAATAGTGTGAGTGTAGTTTGTAAGGGTTGTTTGTTTGTCTCCTGGAAGAGGTCACCAGTGCTGCAGTGCTTGTGTTACTGCAGACGCTTTCTGCTGTGTGTGTGAAGGGCTTTAGTAACAGAGACGAAACTTCACCCTCATGTCATGCCAAACCCTGCTGTATGCATTTCTTTCTTCAGAGGAACACAAAAGGAGAGGTTTAGCAGAATGTCCAGGGTGCTCTTGATGCAGTAGATAATAAAGTGAATGTGATTTGGTGGATCAAGACTTCTTACCAGCATTAATGAGGGAAATAACTTAAATCCTATGAAGCATTGCAAATGACAATCAAATTAAAGATGACAGAGAAATATAGATTTATAGATGTTGCTTGTGTATAATAGAAACCACATATTTTACATTTATTGCTAAGTAAATATTTATGCATATTTGTCAGGACAGGAGCATGGGGAACACTTTACAATAAGATTCATTAGTTAACATTAGTTAACTACCTTATACATGAACTGAGAATGAACAATACTTCTACAGCATTTATTAATCTTAGTTAACTTAATATTAATTTCAACATTTACTGATACATTATTAAAATCAGAAGTTATATTTGTTAACATTAGATAATGAACTAACATGAACAAACAATGAACAGCTGTATTTGTATTAACTAACATTAACACATATTAATAAATATTGTAACAAATGTATTAATCATTGTTAATGTTAGTTAATACATTAACTAATGTTAACAAATGAGACCTTATTGTAAAGTGTTACCGGAGCTTTGTGTTTGTTTCTGTATCCGGTGACCTAGTTTTCTAGTGTCATCCTCATTCAGTTCACCTGTTGTTAATCAATTATCTCATTAGTTTGCTCATTAGTTCTGGTATTTATACTCCCTGTTTTTGTTCAATCCTTTGTCCTGTCTCATCTACGATTGAGGGTACGTTTACACGACAACGATATGCTTAAAACAGAGAAGTTTTTACTTTGAGTTTCAAAGGAACAAACCTATGGAAGCTTGTTTCCGCCACTGAAAAAAAAAAAAAAAAAAAAAAAATTGCGACTTTTTATCTCACAATTGCGAGATATGAAGTCGCAATTCTGAATGTAAACTTTACACGGAGACCGTTTTCAGAAACTTGTACTTTGAAACCCGTTTTCAAAAGTTTGCTTTTTCAGGAACCCAAAACACCGTTTTCGTGTAAATGAACGGCCAAATTGCATGAAAAGTTTTACGTTTTTAGTTGAAAACGGTGTCGTGTAAACAGCCCCTAATGTGGTGGTTGTGTTTTCCTGAGTTGGATTTATTATCTGATTATCTTCGTTAAACAGTTATTTAAGAAATAAGTTGAAATAATAATGCAAGCTGATACTCCACATGTATGACAAGGACTAAAAATCACTATTAACCCAAAAATGAAAATTCTCTCATCATTTGCTCACCTTCTTGTTCCAAAACCATAAGACTTCTGTTCATCTTCTAAACAAAAATAAAGATATTTTTAATATTCATATTTTAATATCCATCCTAGCAACCAATATTTCCAAGCTTCAAAAAGAACAAAAAACACTGTAAAAGTAATCCATAAATGAATTGAGCGGTTTAATCCAAGCCCTCTGAAGAGATACGATTGCTTTATAAGATGAACAGATTCAATTTAGGCTTTTCTTGACATATAAACAGTGATAAACACACATAGAGCACATCAAATATGGCAAACGGAGGCAGACATGCTGAACTTTAGTGAGTTTTTGTGAGTCTATGGACTCTGCCCACGATAGCCTAGAAACAGGACGTCTAGTATATATCCAACATTATAAAGCAGTTAAAAAACATTATAGTCTCCTTATCAAACACGGAGCAGAGATTTGTGTGTAATGTGTTTATGACACACTCTAATGGGCTCCGACCGGCTCTTCCTGCAATGAGTGGCTCCATCTTGCTGTAGATCAATATTTACACGTCTAAAAAGCAGATGGACACGTGTCCGCTGAAATGAGTATATATGCCAGGACTCAACTCTCCATTCCTGTCTTCATCTCCTTTTACCTGACATTGTTTTGATGGAGAGATGGATGCATAACAGCAATGATGTCCAGATGTGTTTGAGTTTCACTGCAGTGGTTTCTCCCCTGGCTCAGACCACAGACGATTGATTGCTGTTTGAATTATATGAACGGCATAAATTTAACTATTGAGGCTGAAAGTATAGTTGAGAGTTTTACTGTTTCAAGTGAGGCAAATCTTGTGTAAAATATTGAGAATAAGGTGAGGAAGTCCATAAATGCCCAAGTTTATTAAACACCTGAAGTTAGGAGGTTGTTCAAATCATTAACCCTTTAGTTTGAGCAAAAGTACTTACTACCTAGCTAACAGCGCTTTGGCTACACTGTTAATCATTTTGGTTGCTCTTTATTTTACAGTACGTTCACTTATGTGTACTTCCAGTGTATTTACCTAAGAAAGTACTGGTAATATAAGGTAACTACATGGGTTAAGTTTAGGTTTAGTGGTAGGTTCAGAGTTAGTACCTAGTTATTACCCAGTTATTGCAATTACTATAGCTTGTACATGGGGAACAGGACTGTAAAATAAAGAGCTACCAAAGTGTAAAATTACAGTATATTTCAGGTTAATAATTGCGTTACTTTCACTGTAGGACTTCTCCTATATCTAACTGCTCTTTCTGAAATTTCTTGTCAAATCTACAGTATTTACTGGCAATTTCTGTCAAGTTTTTACAATTGTACTGTAAAATTGCTTGGTTTTACTGTGAGTTTACAGTATTGCAAAAGAAAACCCGCCACAAAAATACTGTAAACAACAGCACCATACCGTAGTTCTGCAGTGCAGATGTACGATGAAGGCACCCAGCATGCAGTGCGGCACGAATAGATTATGCTGTGGAGTTATTGGATATGTGTTGGTTGGCTTTATCTGTGCTGCTGTACTTATTCTTGCCTCACTTTTTAGCAGTTTGGGTTATTGGTTTATTTTATAATGTCTGTTTATGTTGTAAGTGTTTTTATTATTTGTTGAGTGTCACTATCGTTGTGTTTTGTATGTGGAATATTGATGTCTGAGCATCATTAGGTGATGCTTATGAGAGAAAAAAATCGTGTTGCAAGATGATGTCACATCTTTCAAAGAAGTTACGAATTTGAAATAATTTATTAGAAAAATAGAATCTTCATATTCATACTAAAATATTTTGACCAACAAAGTCATCCAATTAGCCAATTCATTTCATGCTCTAGCTTGTCTGAACATGGCTTGATCACAAATTTGATTTCCCATTATGGTGACTTTAAAATTACAGTGATAAACAATTAAATTTCTTAAAGTGACATGGTTAAATACTGTACAACTTAATAATGTGAATTCACAGTAAAACAAGAGCAGTAAATTACTGTGATATTATATCATCATTCTGCTATTGTTTCAAAGTAATTTATAAGAAAATGACCCAGCATGACCATTTCACACATTTTTGACTACAGTAATTTTTTGTGTGTAAAATAATACTCTTTGATCCTGTAAATTCCTGGCAATTTTGTAAATTAATTACAGTTACTACTGATGTAATTGCATTAAATACGGTATAGACTATAGAACAATTTCATATAAAACAATAATGGATTTAACATCAAAATTCAATATCTAATGCAAAAATGTATGTTTTTATTGTAACCTTCTCCCTTTACACATTTTGGTCCGTTCAAGAATAATTTATACAATTGTAGATTGTTTCTTTGAAAGAATCAAAAGTGCAGTTTCGTGTCTGTTGTTTAAATGGTCGAGGTTGATATGGGATTTAGAAAGTAAATGGGGAAAAGCAATCCAATACTTTTTAGAGAGAGTAATTAGTACACTAATCTAACTACACTGTTAAAGATGTTTTGAATGTTCGGAGAACATTCAGAAATAACGTTTTCATAACTTAATGGGAACTTTAGCAAAACATTATATTTTGGGTTAGGAGAGAATCTGAAACTGTGTTGTTCCGATGAAACCTTTGGGTTAAACGTGTTTTTGGTCATGTTTACAGTGTTTTTTTAGGTTTTGATGTAGAACTGTTTGCATAGTAAATGGATTTTTAGTCCCTGTTAAACACCCGCAGACACACACTGGCACATGCTCACATACGTAGCTTATTGTTTGCACAGGTGTGTCTGACCTTTAAGTGGACATGTGCTTTTTAGTAGAAAAAAAAGGACATCTAATTTTAAGCTTAGACTAACCTTATATTTAAAATGTTTAACTTTTAACTTTTATATTTAAATGCCACTATATTGTTGGTTGAACTGTTTCTATTGTTCTCCTCATTTGTAAGTCGCTTTGGATAAAAGCTTCTACTGATTAACACCAAAATATTGTTTTATGGATTTCTGACTGGACTATTATTTCAGACAAGGGTCAATGACATATGAAAAGAGTATACAAGAAAAAGAAAAAAACTTTTAAGAATATATATAGTTTAAAAAATATGTGCCAAGTTCTTAGAAATGTAGTCTTTGCATTCATATTGATTCCATATGATTTTGCCATTTACATTTTTTTCTATTGTTCTAAAAATGTCATGTGGTGTAACCATCAAGTAAACATCCATACATGTGTCTTAATCATTATTAAAATAAATTACAGTACATAAAAAAATCCTTATGTTTTTGGGTCGTTGCACTACAAGACATTTTGCAACTTGAACTAATCTTGCCACATCATAAAAAGGTCAAATTATCTTATATTTTAAACAGATATTTATT